CATTGTTACCATTGCGTCATTGCCTAATACAAGATGAAATCTGGTATAATTGATGGTCAGAAAAGTATGGTGTGCATCCTGGGTTTCTTTCAATAGACATATTATAAGAGCTTCCTATCTTGTGTTAGTAATTCACAAGTCTTTCTAGGTAGTAAAAGGATATATATTCGTGACCATATTTGTACTAGTGTGGGCTTGAAAGTATGTAAACTTATAGCATTACAAATGACTTATATTGCCTGGTTTTTTTTTCCTAGTTTGGTTGTTTTCATTTTGTATTTATTTTGCTCAGCCTTTAAAAGATTGCAACCTGAATGATTAAAATTTGGGAAATCCTCTAAACCAATGATACATTAAATTCATACTCTGAGGTAAGAAACTAGAAGGGTCTGGTCTATTTGGTAATTCATACACAGGTTGCTAAATTTGCAGAGTCAACATACAAGCACCAAGAATTCACTATCTTTGGAAATTACTGAGCAATGCATAGGTTGTATCTCTAATATTCCTGTTGTACAGATGACTCCCTTCATTTAGTTAGGATCGTTTTTTCTACATAACACTATGATTATCTCAAGTGTTGAATGTCAAGGTTTCCATGAATTAGTCTTGGCATTTTTTGTAATCTCATTATCTCCTTCACAGATTTCAACTTGAATATCCATGTTGATATAAGCAACGTGTGATTTTGCAAGCCGAATATAGCACTATGTAGTATGATATCTATACAGTTCAAAACTTTCAGTCACAAGTTTTATATTTTTTGATTGAATAACTTGACAAAGTATGATGCTAATGGTTCGATTGGTTTTGCAGTCTAGAGGTTCAATTAGAGATGGGACTGGAGTACATGGCAGCATTGTTAATGAACTCGTTACAAAGGTGTATTAATGATGATTACTTGTTCTGTAGATAGTAAACTGGGAGGAACAACGAGTCAATGCAATTCCTTCGCACTACAGTAATGGCACTTCCTAGCAGATCATCTGATGGATCTCCGTTAGAGTCCTGCCATTCGGCAGATGGTATCCCATTAATGTATCTTACCATTAGTTCAATAGCAGGATGTGTTTTGGGAGATAGAAAATGAGAAGATAGGTTGACTACCTTATTTTTGGATGTAATATATGTTTAGTTGATTTTATTTTTTTAAAGAAAGGTTCTATATTTTATTGGAAGTATTATATGTCTAGTTGATTTTTTTTTTTTTTTTAAGATAGGTTTTACATTTTTTTGGAAGTATATATGTCTAGTTGATTTTTATTTTTTTTTGAAGACAGGTTGTATATTTTTTTAATTCAATTACCGAACATGGTATAATTCATTTACACAAGATATACACAAGATATTGGATGTAATATATGTCTACAAAAACCACACATTGTGTTGCATACTCATAGATCACACTTAAATATTCATAAATAACAGATTATGCAGCCTTTATTTGGAAACAATTCCCTTGGGTAGGGAGTTTTGGCCGTTAAAAATGATACAACATAGACTGAACTTCCATGCACAATGTGTCGTTAACATCCGTTCAACCATAAATGTTCAAAATACAACACGACGAAAGTTCCAATACATAAACATAGGGCCGAGTTACATAACTAAGGTTTGCTCAATAACTAACGTAAACAAATATTCGATCAACATCTACTAATCAAGTTGGCTGCTTTCCTTTTGCATTCACTACCACACTTACTTTCTCCATTCGAATTGTGACGTCCTCCGAAATCTTAAGCTCTTCTTCGTCAGTCAGATAGACTCGAGATTCAAACATGCAGGACATTTCATCTCCTATTTCGTTCTTTGTGGGGTTAACGACGCAAGCATCATCGCTACTAGATGCACCGTTTGATTCGTCTGTTACAACCCAACTCCAAAAACCACAATTGTTACTATAACGAAGAAATAATTTTCCTTTATTCGCACCTTCTTTCTCCATGACGAAACATTTCTCAAATCCACGTTTGAACGATTGGCATGGGCGTTTCTTCAGGCAGTCGTCAAAGAAGCGGGTCTTCGCTCTACAACTATGACAGATCCCGAAGTTCCTTCCGACCATTCTGCACAACAAACAAACTGAATGACATTTGCAATACAGCCATAAAGTGGTGTGCCTATCTCATATTGAAGTAACATAGTAGACAAATAGCCAACCCATTTATAAGAGGCAAAGTGGTTGAGAGAGTTCGTGATGTAAACTGTAAATCAATTCTCAATTTTCTTTAACCACTAAAGAACTTCTTCGAGTTTTTTTTTTCAATAAGTTCATTGTAGCCCAGAAATCTCCACCAACACCAGGCAATAAGTGATTTACATCTGGTAAGAACTAGATTAGCAGGCAACCGCAACATGATTTTTCCCTTTCCAGTTTTCTTACTTCCCTTCCAAAAAGAACAGAAAACAACAGAAAAATCAGTGCTTTCATAGAAATGAAATTGAGAACTCAGATGCTCATAACTCAAAAGGCCTAATTGCTGCGAAGAAAGAAAAGAGTTGAGATAACTTCATTCAATTTTTTTGTCTAACTCAGAACATACACACATAATTGGAAGCAAAAACGCTAAAATATGAGCACCAACAAGATCCAACAATTACTTCAAAACCAAAAATGAAGGGCAGTCTTCATGCAAACATTAGACTACAAAATCAACAAAAACTTGAACCTCAAACCTGAGCACAACGAAGAAATGATGGCAGATAAAAGACGAGCTCGGTCTTGATTTTGTTGGGCGCTGGAAGTGAAAAACACTCAAACCTGTGGATTTCCATCGTGATTCTCTGGGTACCACAGTCGGGGGGGGGGGGGGCAAAG